GAATATCTCTTTGGATTTGAGACTTTAGTCTTTGCAACTTTACAGATCTTCTTTATGCACCAAGAGCTTGTAACACTCCAAAGAGAAAGGAAAACTTGAAATCGCATCATATGACCCCTTTAATATAAGAAGAAACGTCTAGCTTTGCGGTCTCTCTCTCGCTCTCATTTGGATGCATGTCTTGCCGCAAATTTTTCTCTCTTATAACCTAACTGAAGCAGCACATGCCCTTGATACGAATTCTAAAAGTGACGTATGTTTAACTGTCAACTTGGCGGAAGGAAGTAGTTCCGCACAAAAGAGGGTTTTATTAGGCACTCCGTTGTTTCTTGTTTAATTATACGCATTTTCTGTCGAACTGTTGTATAAACGCAATATACAGTGAATCCGGCACTGTACTCCCTCATGTTGTGGAAGCTGTCCTCAGTAAAATGCGCAGCACACAATAGCAAATTGGGGTTATAATGTGAGAGTTAAAAAATATATTGCAACCACTGTTTCCTGACATCCGCTTTCGGAAGCCCAAACAAAGACGTTTGGGCACGGAGGTGAAAAAAAACAGCGTTTCAGGCGGTCGCGCACCGGAAAACGAGCTGTTCGTTGTAGTTCTTGAAAAGGGATTTTTTTAAAAACGAAATTGAGATTTGTAACTTTCTAGATCTTTTTTATGCCCAAACATACACACTACACACTGACTAAAATTAAAAAAGTGAAAAAGCATAATAGGACCCCTTTAATTATTATTTATTTCAATTTATTTGGGTTCATTTAGGGTTAGTTTAAATTTTGACAACTAGGCTAAGACAAATCTGACAACTAGGATGAAATCCCAAGACATTATCAAGGTTTAAAATCATTCCATTAGAGGAAAATTATGGTTAACATAAGAGGTATCAAAGATCAAATATCTTCCTTTCATATCTCCTATGGCATTCTTGCGATTCATACCCCATTACATTACACAAAATATATTTAAATAAGTTAAGTGAAATATGATTATCACACTGCATTATGGGAGAACAGAACTGTAGTCTGTAAAGTCTGAATGGCAATTGACTGCCAAGTCTGCTGACAACATAAAAAAAAACATTTTTATCAATAAAATGTTTAAATCAGTCAGTGGTGTGATTCATATGATCTTACAACAGGCTAAACATCTGTTAAAGATGGTTGCTAATAGTCCAATGGATCAGAGACTCAATGTTCTGGCATCCAAGCTTACACAGCTCTGATTGGTTAATACAGTTACAGCTGTAACTCTAAACTTGTGATACATAGGCCTAATACTTTATAAAAGGATTCAAAGCAAACTTCTAACCCTAAAAGTTCAATTTTATTACCTCATCCTGAACAGTTCACGTTATGGACATCAATACTTTTCAACTACATCTTTGCAACAACACTCTAACATAGCAGGGACCATTTTTGTATGACCAAGGACAACCTTTTCTTCTGGAAAAAAAAAAAAATCCTATGGTTTAGATGTATTACTTTTACTCATCATGTACCAAATGACCTGTAGGAGCTATTATCCAAAATGAAAGGCATCTTTGGGAAAGTGATCAGGGCCGTGGGAACGAGGGTGTCTGCTGATAGTGATGATTAGACACAGCAGGTGACCTCTAAATAAGAGAGTAGATAATTACAGCTGCTGTTCATCAGTCCAGATGCTGGAAGAATTCCTCCTACTAAACACGTGTGTTGATCTGATTACACCAGATCGGGAGACCTAACAACCTACTCTATAACCTCACAAACAAGACATATTCTGTAAACTCAGAGAATGTCTTTCTGTTTTCAGAATTATTCTGAAAAAAAGTGGATGTCTTTGAACATTAATAATTTGAACTCAGAGATGGGATTTTACACCTTTAAAGGAATATTCCAAGTTAAAAACAGGCTGTAAATGGTATTTGTGGCATGTTGTTGAATATCACAAAACATCTCTCTCTTTTTTTAATTTAACTTAGAATTTGTAAAAAAGAAAGAAAATCAATAAAGCAATCATACAGAACCCAAATAAATGTTAAAAAAGTTACACATTTTAGCCATAAAACTACATAATTACAGAGGTGTAATTAGCATGAGTAAAGTTACACTACCTTCCAACTTTTTTCAATATTCATAACAAAATGAAATGTTTCTTGAGCATCAAATCAGCATATCAGAATGATTTCTGAAGGATCATGATACATGCGAAGATACCAGGAAGAGACGTGATGTAATGATCAAATAGTAGTCTCACCCAAAAGAACATTTTAGTTTATTTTACTCTTCAGATTAAATAAAAATACGAATTAATTTTACTTAAAAAATATATAAATACAAAAAGCCTTTTATATTCCTTTAATAAAAGCAACTGCTTTTTTATGATTAACTGATCACAAATACACTCACCTGAGTGGTTTTATCACTAAGGCCCCTAAGAACAAGAGCAATGACGTGGACCACAGCTCTTCGAACCTCTGCTTCTTTGTCCGTCTTTATCAGGGCGGTGAGACACGTGCTCAGCTGCAGGAACCAGCACACAAACAGAGGTCAAACACAAAGAACGAACACAGGCCGCAAAGATCTGCAATGGTGCACTAGTTGATCTTAATGTCAATGCAGCGAGTCGATTGATGTCTAAACACATGCACACGGGTTTGCAGAAGGCTAATCGTCAAGACGGTGGAGAACAGCCTGTTGCAGACGGGCTCTTTCATGAATAAGCAGCCCAGTTATTCACACTGACAGAGATGCTTATTCGTGAAGATCTCTAGACCACTGCTGCAGCTCAGCCGCTTACAGTAGATTTTCTCAACAACCGTATGTACAAGCACTGAAAAAATAAACAAACTGCTTTCCAACTGTGCAAAGCAGTCACACATTTCATATTTTGGCACAAGTTTTACAGAATACTAGATCTGCATTTCCTAAAGGAAATATCAATGCTTGCAAGGCAGCAAAAGTATAATGCTAAAGTCTCAGATAAGCTTTTATGATTTACTGCATAAAAATAGTTGTATGGTACTTTAGGGCTGGGTATCCATACAGATTGATTTGATTCTGATTCACAAGTTCTCAAATAGATTTGATTAAATTCTGATCTATTTGGGTATATTTCATTTATTACTGTCCATTTCACTTACATATGAAAAAAAAAAAATCAACAAATTAACCAGCTCACAACAGTCATTTGTATCATAAACTGTACAAACATGTTTGCATCAGCCACTGAAAAGAATAAAAAGAGTAAAAGACCAATCTTGGCATTTTAAAGGGATAGTTCACCCAAAAATGAAAATTCTGCCATTAATTACTCACCCTCATGTCATTCCAAACCTTAAGACCTACGTTTATATTCAGAACACAAATTAAGACATTTTTTGATGAAATCCGAGAGCTTTCTTAATAAAGTCGTTATTTTTGTTTCATTCTGCACATGAAAATATTCTTGTAGCTTTATAAAATTATGGTTGAACCACTAATGTCACATGGACTATTTAACGATGTCCTTACTACCTTTCTGGGCCTTGAATGTGGTAGTTTGTTGATGTCTATGCAGGGTCAGAAAGCTCTCGGATTTCATCAAAAATATCTTAATTTGTGTTCCAAAGATGAACAAAGATCTTATGGGTTTAGAATGACATGAGGGTGATAAATTAATGCATTCTTTTTCTTCCCCTTTTCTGTTGGCTATGTAAGAATCAATACAATGCATAATCAACACATTCTGTGCCACTTTTACAGGCAGCTTTAAATTAAATTTTAATCACTATAAAAAAAAAATAATCACAATTTAGAATGCAAATGAATTCAAGAAAGAAAACCAAACAAAATTCAGTATGCAAATATTGTCATCGCTTTCAGTTTAAAATAGCAAATTCTAAAAATAATATTCTAAAAATAAAATGTGATCATTTTGAATTGTAAAGATTCTAAAAATGGGACATTTTCATTGCATAAGCGATTGCTACATTAAGATCTAGAGTCAAGAAATTGATTTTAAAGAGCAAATCAGTTAATTGAAGCAGTTCAGGTTCATCCATCTACCACCCAGCTGCGCTACCAGAAATCCTGATCTCAACACTAGAAGTGGTAATCTTGTGTAGAGAGATGTACATGTGTACACACACACAGCTGTGCAGAGTAAAGAGAACGATGACATCAGACTAGAAGCAGCCTTGGGGGGTCTGCTTAAAAAGAACTAATTACAGACTAAATGACACACAGAATCAGCTTTTCATCAGCTTGACTGGTTGTCTTGACTTTTAGGTTTTGAATTCTAGAGTGGTACTACCTCTTGTGCCAGTGGTCCGAGGGAAAAGTTGAGACGTTGACAGAGTTCACCCAAATTAGAGAGGCTGCTGGCACGCACACTACTGTCCTCGTCTCGTGTGCCGCTCAGGAACACACCAATAAGAGGGCGGCCATAGTGTGGAGCAAGATCACCTAAAAGATTAATGACAAGATTTTTTTTATTTGTACAGATATATAAAGACAAACAGTCTTTGAATAATAAAAAATTAACTAATTCTTTCTAATACCACATATACAGTGCACTGGATGAGAGCTCCAGTCTGAACACACATCAAACACACACACACACACACACACACACACACACACAAAGCTGAAGTCACCACTCCTCTTCCAATCTCTCCATCTCGGTGTGAAAGTCTGAGAAAGTCCAATGCACGTTCCTACAGCATGAGCAAAGTCACTAAACTGGGATTTTTTGGCTTATATGAAAAGGACTCCAATAAAAAAAATCCTCCTCACACTAATAGGTATTAGTATAAGAGGAATTAGCATTCTTTATAGGAAATTAATAAGGATAAAACAAGACAAAAGCAATTACAATGGCTGCGAGGGGTGTCCAGAGGGTCTTGCTACCCACAGCTGATTTTTCTGGCTTTGTTTGAGATATCATTCAAACTCTACAAAACCTTCCAGAACCCATGTGCCAGGACCTATTCAGACATGAATGTCCACTTCTTCAGCTGACCAATCCTCTAAACAGATCAAAAGAGCTTTAATGGCTATTGTGGACTAGACCTACGAGAAAAAAAAAAGTGTGTCTGAGGGGAGGAAAAAGAAAGCGGTAAGAAAAAGTGTACCATACACTTCTTTGATCCTGTGCTTCTTGTTAACTGTGGCCATCTGTCCAAGCCCCTTAATAGGTGACAGGTTTAATTAGAAACCAGAGGTACACTTATGCAGGAAAAGGAGTTTTTAAATTACGGTCTGGATGTGTACATTTTGAAACAGCAGGTTGTGGTTAGATATTTAGTTATTACAAAGACAAAGATTTTGGGACTGAAATCAGTGTCCCATTAGATAATACTCATGGGTTGAAAATGTAAATTGAGCTCAAGTGTGCGGGTGAAGTTTGTGATGCCCCCTGCTGTGTGTGAAGGCGCTATGAATGTGACAGAGAGCTGTGAGACTCATTGTGCGGTTTCAGCGGACTGTAGCAGCTGTTGGGCTTTTTCAGAGCTCGGTCTGTTAGCGTTAAGGAGCCGGGCCAAGACGACATGTCTCAGACCCAGACTGAATGATCTCGGGACACAATGAATAACCACACACTTGTGTTGAGGATACGGCACTGCCCAGATCTGACAAACAGGTCCTGAAATGGAGCATGTTTATTAAAAGAAAGTTTTCTGAAAGAAATACAGAAAGAAAGAAATAGAAAAAAGACAGAAAGACTACAGACAGTGACTGTGCTCACCCATGGCCCTGCTGGCTCTCATTAAAACCTCGCCCAATTTGAGGCGTGTCTCTAGGGCGCGCTCCCTTTCGGGGGAACTGACAGTCGCCCCGGTCTGATACTCTCCCAGCAGTCTCTGCAGAATCTGTTCAGGAAAAGTGTCAACCAACACCGCCAACCCTGAAACAGAAAAAAGAAACAACAGCTTAGAAAAAAAGACTGAATGTCTGACAGATCCTCTTTAAGACTGGATGCATTAAAGAGCATTAAAACCTTAACTCAGCTACTCCTCAATAGGGCTAAAAAAGGTAGAGATGGTCCTGTATGACTATTTATGGACAAGACGTGAGATCATATTGGTTGCAAACAGAGCTGGTTTAGCTAATCAACCCAAAATAGATCACTCTAAATCGGTTCGCTGGCCCAGAAGCATTATTCTTGTAAATCCCAAGGCTGTTCTTAAAATAACCTGAGACTGATCCAGTAATTTCTGAGAAAGACACATATACAAAGAAAATCCTCCACATCTGCTTATCAATATACACTATTGTTCAGAAGTCTGAGGAAGAATTTTTTATATTTTTTTAAAAGAAGTCTCTTATGTTCACCAAGGCTGCATTTATCTGATCACAGTACAGCAAAACAGCAATATTATGAAATATTATTACAATTTAAAATAACCGTTTTGTATACTACTATTTTAAAATGTAATTTACTCCTGTGATGGCAAAGCTAAATTCAGCAGCCATTACTTCAGTCTTCAGTGTCACATGATCCTTCAGAAATCATTCTAATATGCTGATTTGCCTCAAGAAATATTTCTACTTATTATCAATGTTAAAAACGTGTTATGCTTAATATACTTGTGTAAACCGTGATTCATTTGTTCAAGATTCTTTAATGAACAGAACCTTCAAAAGAACCATATTTATTTGAAATAGAATGTTTTGTAAACAATGTAAACTTCTTATCAATTTAATGTCTATACAAAAATAAATAAATAACTAAACTCTTACTGACCTCAAAACTTTTGAATGGTAGTATATATAAAACAAAAAAATAAATAATTATTAGTAATTTAATATAAATTAAATTCTATTCAGATTCACCTGAAAACATAACTACCATAATGAATACATTGATGAGCTCAGGAAATGGATGCTTTGTCTATTTATTATGGCAAAGCAAAAATCTGGTCTTTTAACAAGTGAAAGGTTTAAAGGTCTGTATTCTTTAAGAACGAGTAACGTGGGAGCTGAAAACATATTATAATGTGCCGAGGTAAAGCTGACAGTGAATCCTGCTGGCAAAGTAAATCAGGTCAATGTAATGTCTGTGCTTTATGCCTCCATTTACAACAAAGTCATTCAACCAGTCAAAACCAAGCTGTTCTATTATGTACCATCACAGCTACAAATAAATCAAATTTTGACATTCATTTCTAAAAACCATCAATAGTCATGTAAAAAAAAAGATGTGATTGTCATATTTTGTTGTATTTCTAAGAAATTCAGGTTGATTTCTTTCTTAAACTAATGAATGAATTACCTTGAATGGCAGACAGATACACAAAGGAGTCTTCATGTTCCAGGTTTTCCAGAAAGAGCTGCAACACATTGAAATAATTCAGTGAAAGCTGAGCAAAGAATTAGGGCAGAGTTAATTAATTCCTTCATCTAATTATCGCTGACAGTTTTTCAAGAAACCATTAGCTCAGCTCTCAGCACGTTTACAGTCATGCAAATTAAAACATGTCTGTGGCCTGTGGATTTAAGAGATTTAAATGAGTTCACGTGAGGTGAAGTGGTATGACTTGAGAGAGAATTAAAGAATTACCAAAATGTGTTAATAACTCAATCAAAAAAGGCAAAACCAGACACTGATACAGATAAATATCCAAAACCTAATGAATGCATCAAAAGGGAAGGAAAAAAACTTAATCAACTTCCCGGAGGTACACATATATTACTGAATTACTGGGTGTTGTCACAGTTGTGACATTTGTGTCCATGATTATGTGTGAATTGGTTGTATTTATGAAGCGATGGACACAGAAGAGGCTCTTATTACAGAGAATATTAGATGAGACACTGCAGAAAGCCGCTCATCATAACTAGATCCCATGAGAGTCTTCAGGCGCCCTCAAGCAAGAGGTTTTACACACCAAACATCCCACCTCATTTATAAAACATGGTCTAGACCCTCACCCACCCTCAGAAATAGCACACAGGAGAACGAGGAACATTGAAAATCACTGGCCCATTATGCCCATATAAACAGTGTCACCCAGGGAAGAGTCTACGCATACCCCAGGAGAGATGTGTACGTGACACCTGGCTTTTAGCATCAGAGAGAATAATGCATACTGGGAAAACAAGTGTTTATCAGATACTATAATGATCACTGGCATCAAAGCGCAACTCAAAATGACCCAAAAAAAACACTGAGGAGGAAATATTTTTATAACCTAAATGCAAAGAAAATTCACCAGGCATTTAGAATAAACGGTAATAGATGAACTGGAAATTGTACACAGGAATAAATAAATGTCATATATTTATAGAAATATGGTAAATGCAACCACTCCTTAACTTTCAAATCGTACACAGTGAAAAATTAATTTTTTAAAAATTCACACAAGGCCAGTTTTATTATGCACTGGCTCTCCATTGTACAAACACACACACACATGCATATACTGTACATATATATATATATTTCTCACTTACTGTTAGTAGTTTGTCCTTGTTCTGCAATGCCTCTTTGTCTCCATCTCTAACAGAGCGGGTCAGTGAACGCAGAGCGACAGCTCGAGTGGGCACATCCAGGTCACAGGCCTCCAACAGGCACTCAGAGAAAGCTTTACTGGATGAGGGTTCAGAAATACCATAATTGGGTATTCCTCCAGTTGTCTGAATGTCATTAACTTTAGGTGTTGCACCAGAGTCTGTTGTATGTTTGGGATGTGAGATTGGTTTTGAGTGGTCCTGTTGTCTGGAAGGAAATCTAGATGACTGTGTACAAGCTGGGAGGGAGTTTGAACTGTGGCCCGCAGGTTGAGCAGGACTTTGGGCAGTACTGTGCTGGGTGGCTGTTTTGAGGACAGTTTTAGGGTGATAAGCCCCATGTGTGACAATAGTGGCTCTCAGATCAGACGCCAGCTCCTGGATGAAGGGCTTTGGGTGCTGCTGGGAAATCTGCTCAAGGTGGGGCAACAGTTCACCCATTGATGAATAATCATCTGCAGTGAGCTGAAAGAAGATATACACAGGCACAAATTGGTAATAAATAATACATTAAAGGTCCACAAACATTTTTCCAACATCATTTACATTTAGTCATTTAGCAGATGCTTTTATCCAAAGTGACTTACAAATGAGGACAATAGAAGCAATCAAAACCAACAAAAGAGCAATAATATGTAAGGGCTATGACAAGTCTCGGTTAGTCTAACGCAGTACAGCAGTAAAATGTATAATAATACACTACCTCAGTAGCTCCAGAAAGTAGAGTGGCCACAAGCCCCATTCCCATACGGAGAGTCTGACTCTCCACTGGGCTGTCAGTGCCACGCTCCAGACTAACACATGCCCTCTGCAGCATGGATACTATAAACCCAACCACCTGTATGCAGAAAGAGCAATGTATTGCTGGCATATAAATGTCACACCTTCTCTTAGTATCACTACATAAAGTAGCACAACTGATGAAATAGCACATCTGTGCCAGGAAAGTCTCATACTCATGTCCTAAATAACCCTCAGAGAGAAGAAGAGATGATGTGCTCTATTTTTAGATGGCCCATGTTTCCCCTTTTAAAACCTCAGTCGAATAAGAGCAGAAAATACTAAATGATAAAACAGCTTAAAAGATTTTAAAGGAAGAGAAGTGAGGGAACAATTTCATATGCTTAAATAACATGGTTTGAATGATCTTTTCTATATCACACCTGAGTGGGCTTGCGGAGCAGCTGTGTGTATGGAAGACCGTCACACATGATGGCCAACACCTGCAGCAGAGCCAGTCTCTGTCCATGTCCACTCACACGCCCCAGCAGGTGCTGCTCTAACTCCAGCAGGGTCATAGATGAGGTGTCCACTTCCTGCTCAACCTCCTCCTGCTCAGCAGCCACAGCCGTTAAATCCTGGAAACAGCACAAAACAGACATATCAGATGTTGCAAAAGGTTTCACCACCTAAAGTGTAGCATGCTAAAAAAAAATCTGGTGATCTCAGCATCCACTTTCAAATTCAAACCACTTTCACAGCATCCACCAAAGTCTTGAAGCCTCAAGTTTTGCTTTAGAGTCATAAAAACATCTTTAGAACCTTTATTTATCATGTGTGTTATAGTTTAGAGCAGCAGTTACAAATGTTGAGCTACATTGGTAACCATCAAGCTAAAACAGACAGGCAGGGGTCAGCACCTGCAGCAGCAGTAGAAAAAACTCTCCAGGCAGGTCACTGTCCTTCATCTCTCCCAATAACTGTACCAGACACTGCACTCTCCACTGCTCACCTGAGACCTTCTCATACAGAGCGTCATCTTCATCACTGCCAAAACACACAGAAAGAGAGACAGGTAATGATAATGATTTGATATGCTTTGCTACATACACTACCATTCAAAGCTTTCTTATGCTTATCAAGGCAGCATTTATTTAATCAAAAATACAATACAAATATTGTGAAATATTTTTAAATTTTAAAATCACTGTTTTCTATTTTAATTAATATATTTTAAAATATAATTTATTTCTGTGATTGTAATGCTGAATTTTCAGCAGCCATTACTCCAGTCTTCAGTGTCACAAATTCCTTCAGAAAACATTCTGATATGCTTATTTGGTGCATGAAAGAATTATGCATATTATAGAAGTTTTAAAAATAACTTGCTAACCCCAAATTTTGTAAACGGTAATTCAGGGTAGCTGATGGTTGATATTATACTGATATACTATAATTCATGCTTAATTTAATGAAAGCAAATGAGATGCACACAAAGTTACTGAAATCCAAATTCATCACTAAGGATTTAAAAACATGCATTGTTCATTTCAAAGCTCTCTGTTTATTTTGGAGTTGACAAAAGAGTCATCTAGCTGATCAATATAGCCTGACTCGTATATTACAATTTTCCACAAAACAGTACATAATTATTGTTGGGTTGAGTCTCAGTTAATAATACCTGATAAGCTCTCTGACTGTAAGTATGGCCCCTCCTTCACTGCCAGGTGAGAACTGAAAGCCATGTCTGACTCCACTCACTTCTCCCAGCAGTCCACACAGATGTTTCAGCTGCGAAAGAGCAACCGAGTGCTCTGAGTGAGACAGGAACCATATCAGGATCTCCTGACATGATGTGCTATAAGGAACAACCACTTTTAGTCCAAACATATAATGTTTTATGAATACTTCAGCCATAAATTGAGAATGCACACTGACCGTAAATGAGAGACATTCTGTTTGGTGAAGCAAAAGAGACTGAACAGTGTTGAGATGACATCTGCTAGAGCTTTCAGCAGCACTTCTGATGGACTGTTACCCAATCTTGGTCTATGTAGTAGCCTATCCTCTCTTACTGCTGAGGAACCGCACAGGTACAGGCTACAGTCACTGACACAAGTTTATACTCTAAGGTGTATTTTTTCGGGTCAGACGGGCAAGGAACCTTCTTCAGGAATAAGCGAGTCTGCTTCACAGGCACTGAGTTGTAGGTCCTATTTTCAACCCCGTTAATGATGCATCCATCACACAGACACTCTGCCTCCTCGTATTTTGAGGGGTACATGTCTGTATTTTCCACTGTTCTGAAAATACAAGGGATAAAGATACATTATTCATGTAGCAAGTCACTGAAATTGGTTAAATAGATATCACATTTACACACTTGTTTTATTGTATGATTTTGTATTATTATTTAAACACTAGGCTACTAAACATGCCTCATAATGCTTTCAACAGCTTTGATCTGAAGGCTTTTTATTAATAATTTAGAGAGCTATATCTACCTTATCCGCCAGGGGGACAGTGAGCGATCATTGAGCGCTGCTGATGAAGCCCGAGCAAAATCTTCACAGGAGTTCGCCTGATGATGGACGGGCCGGAGACGCTGGTGTCTGTGTGCGTGCAAAGACTGAAGTAGCTTGTTGTGAATCTTGCTGAACCCATGTTCACATTCACTGAAACATCCCAGATTCTTTCCATTCACGATGCTCTCCGACAAGAAGAAGAAAAATATTCCAAAAAACAGCGGAGACTGCAAGATAAAGAACAAACAGATAAATGAAATAAGCAGAGTGCAAAAAACTAATTATTTATAAATAATATAGATTAAGATGTCCATTACTTTGTGAAATATGTATCTACTTAGCCTACATAAAACATTTTTTCTACTTACCCACATCATTTGCTCAAGGTTTATTAGGCTATTAAAACTCCGTTGACCCGCAGTGATGCTCAAGTTTAGTGCTCAGGTTGTGTCGGGCCTGACTCTTATACTTTTCCTGAAGTGCTAACGCGAATTTATATAGGCCTACCTGTTGTATCCATCATTAGGGAAAATCCGAGTCTATGAGGAAATAGTAATAAATATTTACTTCCGTACTTCCTCTTTCAAATGAAGCGCTACATACACAAGCGCATTATATTGCATGCTACCTGGAAAAAACTTCACTTTTTTTAGTCTTTTCATTATTAACCAGTCTGTAAAACGATTTCAGTTTTAACAGAATCACAGATCTGTGATATCTGAATGGGCAAGTGGACGTTTATTCTCTCATATGACCAGTAATCCATTTTTTTCCTGATCCTGAAGTGATCAGTAAAATATTTAATTCATTAAACTCAGTACTTAATAGTCATTAATACTTCAACATTGTCTTTGATAGGAAAGAAGAGATGTAAGTCCCCATAGTTAACCGCTCCGTTAATATTACAGAGAAGTGTTGCAAGACACTAGATCTGTTACACACACAAAACATTTACCAAACTTACCTTGCATTTCACTAAGCCCAAAACTAACAACATTATTTAACATAAAGAGGTATCACCAACATTGTGCTTCAGATGGAGAAAATTCCCCCTTTTTTGAGCATCTTGTGACCTTTTCAAATCCCTGGAAGAGTAACCAGGGATAACCTGTGGAGATAAATTATGGGAGCCCCCTGGATGTTTTGGACATGACAAAAGAACCCTCAAGAACAGGTCATTCATTGACTAAAATGAGCAGTTGATAGCAGATTTGGCTGCCTGTGGGGTTGCCATCACGGGACAAGACCAAGTGAATTTCCCAGCATCATCAGATCAGCCAATCTGAAAAACATCTCCCCAGGAGTCCCCCAAGCATCATGCATAAATTCTATACATTCTACAGACACACACATGGTGACGATTAATTTCACTCCCATTCTGACAGAAATTGTAATAATCAGCATATACATATTTTTTATATTTAAGTATTATTCATAGCAGACTGCACATTTACTTTCTAATATTTATTTAACATTCTAATATTTATTAATGAACCATTTAAATTTTTTTATACTAAACTTATTTTTTATACAATGACCCAATAGTTTGAAGTCATCAGTTATGTGTATTCTATTCAGCTACACTGACACAAAATCAGAAGTGCACAACACTAATTATTGTACAAATCATGACAGCTTAATCATTTAAAATGACTTATGAAAGAATGTGGGTGTATCATAGAAGAGCATTAAAGATGATTTAACTCCTACAACTTATGACGTTTAAAAGCACAACCAACGGAAGATGAATAATTTTCCAACCCTGTCAATAAATGATCTCACTAATTTGCTGTAGGTATTGATTCTAAGCAGGATAATGGATCAACAAACAGGGTTAAGCAATAAAATAAATCCACACAAACCAGAGCACATGCTCTGGAGAAACAAAGTAGAGCATCAGACCTTCATATATGCACAGATGGAAAAGTCTTCCATTAGATGCAATCTTTCCATTAAAGAGGAATCATTTCAACAGATTTATCTTTATCAAAATAGTTTATTTAGAAGCCTTTTTTCTGTCACAAAAAGCAAGACGGAATTATTCTTTATGTCCGGGTGTCCCCATTGCAGCCTCTCACACTTTCAACTAAAAATGAGGGACAAATAAAATGCAGGTTTTCACTTGAAAAGCTAGGAGAAACAATGCAGAATCTTAAAAAAGCAATACTTCACATCACTGTCATTGGTTCTCTAGAATCATACACTTTAAGCAACAGGTATTCTGTCACCTGACTTTGTAGTTGTACATTGTGAAAAACAGCTAAACACGTGATGGTGGATAGACAAATACATTGCTCAAGGTGGACTTTCCTAACTGTAAGGTTATGAAAAGGCAGTTCCAGATTCTTTGAGTAGGATCAACGTCAAATGCGCAGATGCGTCCAGGATGGTCCAATCAGATTAAGCATACGTCTGTCACACCGCAACGCAGCACATAAAGTAACAGGAGTGGGGATAAAGCAACTAGAATATGAGAGAGAAGTGATGAGAAGTGTGGCAGGATGAAGAGCAAAAATGTGCGCTGAATGTACAGTTTTTTTTTAATCTTTGAGACACACTACAGCAAAGATTCCATCTTCCTGCGAAAACAAACAAGTGAACAGGGCCACTTCTCAACTTTATCACATCAATATAAAATCTAGACAACCTCTCTCTGAGGGCAAAACAAGCAGAAATGTAACGGCAGTCTCCTTTCCCTAGGACATTTACGCCCTTAGAGTTCAGAACAGCGACCATTTCCCATTTCTGGCAAACACTGGGCGTCGAGAAAACAGATGTCCCAGAAGTTAATCATTTCCCAGGGATTTTGGCCCTTTTGCGGGCTATGGCGTCCTCGACAGCCTTTAACTGTTTCAGCAGCTCCTCACGACGAGAAAGGGTGCTGCTCGGCTTGCCCGATCCGGAACTAGAAGCGGAGCCAGAGCCGGATCCAGCCCCGGGAGCAGGTGGTTTACCTGCAGACACAGCAGCAGGACCTTTCCCAGAAGACTTGGGTGGTGGAGATAAAGGACGCTTCCTGGAGAGAGAAAATATAAGGAATCGAGTGAACTACAAACCTGGGATATTTTTAAATCTCTAGTCTTAGTCACACAAAGATAAAGATTTTGTTATAAAACACCTTGATCCACCATGCACATAAAAAGGGAACTAATGCTGAACAAACATCGGGATTTTTATTTACTTATTTTTTTTTTTATAAAAGCTAGATTAATACTCACAATCACTACTCTCAACATACAGAATATGAGAACTCTTATTTATACAAACAGACCCATATTAAAGGGCAGTTAATAGTTCTCAGGCATACAAATCTAATCAACAAATTTAAATTCATTTACATATTTTTCCCTACATGAACTT